GCTTCTGTCTGCATCATTTTTTTCCTACCAGTATCACTGATGGGACATTCACGTAAAGCAAGGGCACATAAAATGAGGTGGCTGCTGACTGCACACACCATTGACTCTGAGAGCTGCACACTCCCTCTGCATCCAATCAAAGTGCTGCTATGGTTCAATCAGCACACCCAGAAATTCTAGGTACACATGCACAGTTAGACTGTGTCTAGACTACACCTCTCTGTCAACAGAGATGTAGATTAGGCATGTCGAAATTGCTAATGAAGCAGGGATTTAAATATCCCATGCTTCATTAGCATAAAAATGGCCACCGCTTTTTTTCGAAATGGAGCTTTTTTGAAAAAATGGCAGTTTAGACGCGGATCTGTCAAAAATAAACCCTTTTTTGACAGATCCTGTAAACCTCGTTTTTTGAGGAATACAGGATCTGTTGAAAAAGGGTTTATTTTCGACAGTTCCGCATCTAGACTGCTGTTTTTTTCAAAAAAGCTCCGTTTTGAAAAAAAGCAGCGGCCCTGTTTATGCTAATGAAGCATGGGATATTTAAATCCCTGCTTCATTAGCAATTTCGACATGCCTAATCTACATCTCTGTTGACAGAGAGATGCAGTCTAGATGTAGCCTTAGTGAAGCTATTCTATCCTGGGAGACCGTCTTGATTACATTAATCTTAAAGCCCACTCAGATGGAGGGCTACTAATGCAGCCCACTCACGAGTCTAGGGTGCCCATCATTGCTGTATATGATGGAAACCACTTCAAGCGGGGGTGCAGCAGCATTCTCAACACCCCTAGTTTGTATTTATCTAAGCAGTAGTGTACTAAAGCAACTTGTGAAAGAATAACATTCAAATCTGGGAAGATGGTAGGGGAGTAAGTTTATGTTTTTGGCTTGGGAGTTTTTGGAGAACTCTAAGGAGGAATCCAGTGAGCTATGTTCCTGAAAAATGGGGAAGCCTGAGACCTTGGAGAGTTTGAAAAGAATGTAGGTACACACGAAACCTGGAAGGGGCTGTTGAGGAATCCTATTGCTGACCAAGATAAGAAGCAGCCCAAGGAAGAAATAGTAAGACAAAAAGACAGAACTTGCCTACTTATTACGGGTCCCTGGCTAGAACCCAGAGAAGAGAGAAGGCCTAGATTCCTCTACTGGCTACTGGAAGAGATGTAAAGACCCTGCAGTGTGGGGATGACAAGATTTCTGAGTTGGGACTTGCCCAAAGACTCAGCTTGATGTTGCAAAACTTTCGTTTTTTTGGACTTTTTGTCCCTTCTGGAAAGACAAAACAAACAGTGACCCGGCTGGAAGAATAGTTCACAAGAAGAAACAGATCAGTGTGGGCCTGGAATACCTATTTGCAGGGATGCTATTTTGAAAGAATTATACCATGCCTACTATGAGAGGGTGCACCAGCAGTAGGTACATTTTCCTACAGACATAAAAACAAGAAAGCACTCTCTAGTCCAGCACCCTTGGAACCCGACTGGTTCTGAACCAATTAACACATACCAATAGCCCATCCTGTAGGCCTCTTCTCACGGGGTGACAGAAAGTTCACTCTGGTCTACGTGCTTGAGAGAAAAGCTGAAATGGTTTCTGATATACAAGATGGCTTCTAGCTAAACATAAAATAGCTTCTACAACTCCCCCCTTTTAGCCTTTTAAAGGCTAACCTTGAAACCATTTTATACCTCCATTTTCCATTACAGTATTTATGTACATTTCTTGTTCCTTTCTCTGCTCATCCTATTTTAACATCACGAGTTCCACATTCCCTTTGGTAAGGGTCTGTCTTGTGTTTTCCAGAATACAAGAAATAAAGCAATTGATTAGCAAGAAACAAAAATAGGCACAAAAGATTATAGCTAATACTAAAACTATACCTTGCAAAATCCAAGTTCCCACATGTCCAAACCAGCCTCCCAACCAATCCCAGAGGGTCTAGGCGTTCCACAGTTTTTTTCGTTTCACAGTTCTTTTAATTTCTGAGGCATCTTCCTTTACTTCTTTGCTGGTGTCAGAAATATACCCACAGCATTCTCTTCTTACTAAGGCACAAACCCCGCTCTTACTAGCTAGGACATAGTCTAGGGCCATTCGGTTTGGCTTTTTCTCACCCTGGCTCCTGAACCGTTACATGTCTAGCAGTACTTTCCAATTGGGGTCAAGGCTAGGCGGATATACCCTGGGTTAGTAAACTCTTTATCCTGCCAAGTATCATTTGGCTTAGTTTACTAAACAGTGTGCCATTCATTTGAGTGATGTTTAGTGGGACTGGAATTATTGGGATGCCTCTTTCTGAATGTACAGGACTGTGAGCACATATCCAGCAACCTGTGGAATTAAATTCTTGGGAAACTTGGTTCATTAAAAGCATAAACACATTTGAACCATATAGATTATAACTACTAGGTATTAAAAACAAGACTAAGCATAAGCTCAACATGAATTGTTTGTCCAGCCTCATGCTGGCTGTTCTTCAGGACTTCGTAG